ACCAGTCAATGGACACTAGATGCCATAGCCAGTAATTATACTGGCTCAGATAGTTACAACAGTGCAAGCACTGATATTTGTAGGTAGAAATAGGTAAGAGAGTGATACGCAAAAAGGGGTCCTGCCATCTACTTAATTTAATATAATTTCCTCCATCAGGTTACACTACATGTGTGATGGGACATTGCGATTCGAACTGTAATCGCTCTACTCTAAATGTATAGTGCTCTACGCTATTTTACACAATATGGATTACAAACGAGCACACAGTCCCATAGAAATGTACATCTATCCTCGATTACGGATCGAAATGCAGATACGTTGTCACCACTGAGGACTAAGATAAAATGCCTTGTAAGAAGTAAAAAGGGCCTCCTGTTCTTTGCACTCGCCATAAATAACACAGCAACTATTATTTCAGCTTTATTTACGTGATTATTGCTGATAAGAATTAATTGCGAAATCAAGAGAGCAAGTTAAATGTCCGCTCTCACACTTATTATTTTTAACAATAACTTCAATGTATTTTCCGACATACTGACATCTTATTACCACGCTGTTTCTTTTCAAGCGCTCTTTTTGTGGTTATTTTTAGCGGCATTTTTCTGGTAGCAATATATTAATTTTAGCACTCACCTCTCCATCTTTCGGTGACGTCAGGTGCTATTTACAATTGTGTTTGTTCTTCTGAATAAATCCTTGTTAAGTCTTCTGGCTACATAATTTTAAATAATTTGAGGATGTTGATGTGAATGATAATCCATTATGATGTAACCTTAGATTATATCGTGTAAACATAAAGTTTGTAAAATCATTTTGTCTATGTGTTTGGAATTAAAGAGAGTTTACAGAAGAGAAATAAAGATACGAGTGTAGAAATCTCAATCAGTTTTAGGGTTTAACCTAGGCCTCTAGGGCCTAAACCTTAATCCGCTGTTTTGTGTTAGCTCCAAATCCAGACGTATGTATGTAAACATTTCTTCGTCATCATCAGCTCATAAAATTCCAGTGCTGGAAATAGTCATCTCCAGTTGTAAGGAATATATGCCATAATCGATAGGCTTGACAGCGGATTGGCCATCGCAGCAACAGACGTCTCGTAAACTACACTTATTTTTCTAATATGCAAGCTTGCCGAGTTCATATTCTAGTGGAAAAACGACTTTTACTTTAGTTAAACATATCAATGCACTTATATACTGATATAATTCCATGTTGTGAAACGCTGCGTTGCAGATTTACCTACATTACGTAGATTTTATTTTTCAAACCAATTCTTCACCTTAATGAGTTAAATATGAATAAGTACTAATCTTCGATCGTATTATGCGATATATTAATAGATAAGGCTAAACTACAAGGGATGTATATTTGAGAATGTTTGTAATTGAATTATAACGTCAAGAATAAAATGCTCAGTGATTTTTTATGTTTATGTGATTACTAGATGAATATTAAATTAAACTAAAGTTATTTACGGATTGAATTACGTTTAATTTTAACCTTTTTTTACTTATTTGTAATTCCCAACGTTTCTATTTTGAACATTGAGGAAGGTTGACTGAGGTGTTTTCATGTTAACACGATGAAGGTAGCCCTTCAGCTTTTCAATATTAAAATTTTAGTCCGATTTTAAAGTCTTGCAGTAATATGCTTAAGTTTGGATGTAAGTTTATTGACTAAGGGATCCCAAACGGGATGGGAGTACCTACTCAGTCTTCTCCTTTGGAAAGATTTTTCTTAATTGCAATAGCCTCGCGACGTATTTTTGTTATGGCGTCTAATCTGATGCTATGGCGCGAATGATCCTGTACATGTTCACAGGCTGCAGATTTTCATGAGTGGAGCATACAGAACTCAAACAAGTGCTCCGAAAATTGAAACGGATATATAAGGTAACAGGTAAATAAGGTCACAGTGAAAATAAAAAGATATGTGAACGTCTTTAGATGGATAACTGAAGTTTTTTTTATATTAATATAATATTATTATAATTTAAGTATATAGCTTTTAGTTACTATAAAAGTAAAATAAAAAAATTAAAACACCTGCACTTACAGGACAGTGCTTTATGTATTTTTACGGATTATGTTCAACCGTGCCGTTGCGAGCTGTGGCACTTAATGAAAAGTTTAAACATATATGTTTACGAACAGTGTACATAAAAATAACAATAATAACTTATAAGATATAGAAGATATAGAAGAATACATTCTTTTAAATAAATAGTACAAAAAGTAACACTTAACTGCTAACAAACAAGTTGAAAAAATTCCCTAAGAATTCACACAGTCCATTTTCAGCACTTAATGCACATGACAAAAGCACTTATTTATAGTTCTAAGGGTCCGAACAGATGTTTTGCTGGACAGTCGTCACTTTGGTCACCAAGAAACTGCGCGAAGAGTTCTTGATATCGAGTAAGCGTAATGCCACCTCTTCTTCGATCATCATCCTGGAAATTTGGTAAAAGATATTAGTTTTATTCGTGTTCATCGTCATAAGCATTACCGTTACCGTCAGAGCCTAGTAAAGTCCACTGTTGGACATAGGGCTCCACCGTAGATTACCTCATAGGAGGGCTATAAGCTATAGTTGCCACGCTTGGCAAGCGGGTTGGCAACCGCAGGTTGATATTTAGTCTCGTTATCAGGAAGACGCTGCTGTTCATCTCCCGATTTGTTTTTTTTTTATAGAAGAGGGGGCAAACGAGGAAGTTGGCGGTGTCTCACCCCCGTACCTCAGAATTCGGTACGTATGTGGCCGGCCTAACTAACCTGCCACCGAAGCGCCACGGTGATCGCCGATACCACCCCAACTCCGCCGAAAGCAATGATCGGTTTCACTATATAGTCGGCCTTTTGACAACCGACTAACCGGCCAATATCATAATCAGCCCATCTCTAGTAAAAAGCAACATGAAAATAATTACATAATTTCAATATGGTAGGTTTGAACTTGCGGCTAACGCTAAATTTATATGGAAATCAATTTACTTTTGCTTTTAAAGTCGGTTAACCTACTTCATAATAAAAGTTTAAGTTATTATTGGGTATACGTCGTCATTACACATTTGTAGCACATTTGCAGACGGGATGCGAGTATGTTGAGATTATTTTATTCTTTTTACTTTTTTAATTGTGACGGCGTGCGGGAAAGACGACCGTGTTGAATGAAAACTAATATTAAACATTATGTTTCGGTAAATAATATTGAGAGGGCAATATTAGTAAAATATAAGTATTTCTTAAAAATTTGCCCTACGAAACTCTTTAGAATTCATGTTTTAAATTGCTCTCTTCTGCACAACATAGTTTCATAGGGTCATTCGCGTTTCCTCATAGCAAAATACATACAGCATTTTGCTATACAATAACCTAGGCTACCTACCTAACTAAAATAATTTTTTTCCGCTGTTTAATCATTAGGGAGTCTTCTAATATTTTAGTATATTGCAGAACTTAGTCCGCTAGGTGGTTTATCGGCTAGGTCGCCTTATTTCAGAAAAACAAATCTAGTCAATAAGGCGGAAAGTGCTTTTTCCTCTTTAAACACATTACTATTCCTATTATGGCATTTTAATGTTATAAATTTTATAATTATACTTATCACCATTTTTGAAAAAAATATTACAGTATGTATATGTGCTATAACTACGTGTCCTATGTATGTACCTATGTCTGAATGTAATAGTATTTTATAATTCAGTTTTCACCTTTGAGTATTCTACAAACTACTCAAAGATTTTCACCAATCCATGACCATGACCTATACTCACTATAAGCGTCAGCTCTTGATCAAAGCGTGTTGGAGTGTTTTTAGTCTCATAATATTTCGTTATTTTGAATTCTGCTGTAAAATGAATTATTATTTATAGCTGCTTCACATTTCTTGCAAACTGCATAAAAATAAAATCATTGTATGATATGATAGCATGGCCCACGCTTCAAGTAGTGTTTTCGTTGACCTCAGTTGGATGGACGCCAGGAGAAAGCTCTTGTTAGCAAATACTATTCATCTTGTTGCATAATTTTATTCGTCGATGTTATTTTCAGGTATTACGGAAATGTTTTGTTCATTAATTTTGTTGTATTTATACATATTTTATAAGCAACTTTTTTTTAATTATAAAGCACCTGGATCTTTGAGTATTAAACTCATGAATACTCAAAGACCTGGATATAAGTTTAAAGAGCTTCTTGAAGGAAGAAATAAGAAAATGATACCTGTAAACTATTTGTAAATCTTATTATGTAATCTACGTTTAAAATAAATCTCATATTTTTTATTTACCTATAATAATGCATATATTTAAGGCAGTATGCAATGTGTACCTATGTCAATGCTTGACAACTGCCCCGTAGAGTCCCGCCTGTAAATTAGAGATGGGCCGAATATGGATTTCATCGAATATTCGGCCGAACATTATTCGGTAGAATCACCTCGGTACCTAACTAATGTATGTCTTTAGTTATAATTCTTACCAATTTAAAATTAAACTTGTTGACATTTTTACCAAAAATGGTTCTTTTACACAAATGCAAAGAAAAATCATAATTCTTTCAGGCCATACTGATCTAAGTGTTTCCCAGTATTTTTTTCCTTGAGAAATCACAACATCTCACTATAGAATCGGTGCAGTTTGCAAAATGGAGACATGCCAAACTGATCTAAGTAATGAGAGCGCACTTAGATCACTGTGGTTGCAAGTTGCTGGCGTTTATGGAAATCCAAACTGATCTAAGTGCAATTAATTGTGTACAAATAATTTACGTAATTTTTATTTAATATCTATGTTTATATACTTAAAACAAATAATATGGTTTGATATTTTTACAAAACCACTGAATATTTTTAAACTGGCAACACAAACGCAGTCACGTCTACAAAATCAAAATCAATTGACGTTACTTGTCATATTGATTTCGGTTTAGTCACATGCGCTTGCGATTATCTTTTGTTTTATTAAATATTTTAATTGAAAGGGTGTTACGTAAACAATGGATAACAGAAACAGAGCCGAAAGAATAGTGAATATGGCATTGCAATCTTCGCCGCCGCCATCTTCATCGACTTCAACAAATGAAGATTTTTCAAATGATCATTCTTGTTACCATCCACAACAAAATATAGAAATTTCTACAGAATTAGAAGACAGTGAAGGTATGTATTGTTGTCGAATATAAAGGGCTGGAGAGATTTTACTTTTATTGTGTGATTTGCAGTTCGATTTCAGAATCATATTTTTTCAAATATTGTTGCTTGACTTGCACTTATGTTCTTTTAATCAATTAGCACGAAAATACTTATAAGGCTATACTCTAATAAACTACTTCCTTAATATAACCTATTTTTATAAGCAAATACTCGTCTATTGCGTTTTTGCTTCATGTTTGAATCTGACTTGGGCTTGGGTTACAGCTTATGCTGTTCTTTACAGACAATGAAGAAAGAAGAGATCCAGAGGGTCCTATAGGTAACTTGGGGGGAAATAAATCATCCAGATTCCGATGAACCTGTCAGAGGAAGAAAAAGAGTTCGGAATTTCGACAGATGGGCAAAGAATATAAGGAAGCGAAAAAGAACTGCAGGCCAAGAATATCGCAACGTACGAGGTAGTATTGTCCCAGCTAAAGTATTTACACCAGTTGTATGCAGCTGTAGGTTCAAATGCAGTGAGCAAGTTTCATCTGAAAATCAAGAAGCAATACACGTAATGTTTTATCAGCTCACCTCATGGGATGCTCAAACAACATGGTTGTGCAGCACCATTAACACTTTAGAACCAAAACGCCGTAATCAAAGACAAAATGCTCAAAATCCTAGCCGCATAAATTATGTACGCCAATTCATGTTGTTGGACAAAAGAGTTTGCAAAAGTTTCTTTTTAAAGGTCATACAAATATCTAACAAAAGATTAGATTATGCATTACGCAATAAAAAATCTGTTTCTGGAATAGCGGAAAGAGATAAAAGGGGACATGTACCTGCTAACAAGCTGCCTGATGAAAAGTTGAACTGGATTAAAGACCACATTAATAGTTTTCCGAAATTTGTGAGTCACTATAGAGAAAGACGATCAACACGAAAATATTTGCGCCAGGATCTTTCAATGAACAAAATGTATGAACTTTTTAAAGCAAAATGTGAGTCAGAAGGAAAACCAAATTGAAAAAGAGTGCCTACGTCAAAGTATTTACAACCGAGATTAATTTACACTTCTATATCCCTAAGGCAGATACTTGTAAAACCTGTGATATGCTCGAGATAGCAATAAAGGCGGAAGAAGATATAGAAACATGCTTAGCTATAAGGGTACAAAAAGATCAGCATATTAAACTTGCAGGCGAAGTAAGAAACATATTAAATGACTGTAAAGGTAAAGTCAAAACTGACGAATCATTATTAGTAGCTACTTTTGATTTGGAACGAACCCTGCCCCTTCCTTATTTGAATACTGGTGAGGTCTATTATTTAAGAGAACTGCAAATGCTGAACTTTGGTATTCATGCTTATATTAAGGAAGGAGAAAAAGTTCTCATGAATATGTGGCCAGAACATTGTGGGGCCAGAGGCTCACAAGAAATTATGTCGTCACTTCACTCCTTTTTAGAAGATTCCGTGCCGGACACTGTCAAATCACTGTGTTTTTAGCGACTGTTGCTCCGGGCAAAACAGAAACTGGAACTTTTTACACTTTATGATGTTTCTGGTTAATAAATCGCCATATCTAGAAACGATCACCATGCATTATCTCGTCAGTGGCCATACTTACCTGCCTAACGATACCGACTTCTCTTTTATAAGTCGAGAACTAAAAAAGAAGACTGATATCTATACACCAGAAGATTGGATGAAGCTCGTCCGAGACTGCAGAAAACAAAAACCTTTTACTGTGCGAGATAGGAAAAATAAGTTTCTAGATTATGAAAGCCTCCACAACACTATTCAAAGATTATCAGATTGTATTAAGAGAAGGCGCAAACATTTCTAAGATGCGGAAGATAAAGTTTTTTAAAGTTTCAAGTATAATAAGTTACAATGATGACTACACTGAAACATATGAAACAGTTGATTTAAAACCAAATAATATGGATTCTGAAACTTTTTTTGTAACCTAAAGAATTATACGAGTATACCAGAAAAAGCCCCTGAAACTAGACTAATATCGTATCAAAAAATGGAAGATATTAGAAAAACTCTAAAATTCGTACCTCCTATTCATCATCAGTATTACTTGACATTACCACATGTTCTTAGAAGAGGTGGCAATCAGGAAGCACAAGATGATGAAATTTTTTTGCCTGCTGTATTTGGTGATGATTAATGTGATTTTTCTTACGACATCAAAGTGAAAACTTAAACTATTAATTCATTTTTTTAAATTTGTGATCTGCCATAGTGATCTAAGTGATTTTTTTTTTGGTAAAACTACGAATATTAGTTTTAATAAATAACTCATACTAATAAAAATTGATATTTTTTATTTAAAACTCATTAGAAGTACATATAACAAAAAAAAATAATAAAAAGCCTATAGATTTCCATTAATAACGCGTAACGCATTTCCTTCATTTTCTCAGAAACATACTATTGTGCCCTAGATCACTCTGGTTTCAGCGTCGTCTAACTTTGTGTTGGCAAATTTTGTATATTTTCTGGGATTTTGTCGTAAAAGCGTATACATCGCCCCAAGAATGAATTATTAACTCGGTGTAGTCGAGTAACTGTACTAGTTTAAGTCTGTTCCTAGTATTTACAGAATGAATATCACTTATTTTCGCAAAATAACTTTTATTTTTGTGTACGTACATTAAATTTTCATAAATGTATTGAGAGGCCAGAGTTAATATATTAATTTCCTTAAATTTTTCTCTGAGTGACGCTTTTGGTTTTAAATTATATATTTTTTTATTAATAAGGCACACAAAAAGATTGAATACAATACAAAACACATTTACAGTAATAAAAATATTTTAACTAGTCTATAATCCAATAAAGTGTGCACAGCTAAACAAAATATGACAAGTATGACAGAAAAATAAATAATACATAGTACTAGTGACAGTTAAAAAAAGAACTTATTTTATGATATTCGTGAAATTTACATATTTGACGTAGCAATTACAGATCTTCTAAATTGTGAAATATTAGAATTGAAAATCAGCGTTACGATGTCTCAGCTCGTCAAAATTTCGACACATTCGAATGACCGGATTAAAGAAGGGCGTGTTGTTTCTGTAAACATTAAGGTGAAAGATACGCGGGTTACGCAGACGGGATCGACCGTTAAAATTAATTAAATTAAGCAATTCCAGGCAATCGATGGAGGAGTGAATGATTTTGTGAAGGTAAATAAGCTCAGAATATTGTATTCGTTTATCTAATTTCGTAACTCCAAAGTAATTCACTCTTTCATTATACGATGGCAACTGGCGGATCAATCCACGTTTACGATATAAGCTCCGCAGAAAACATCTCTGGACTCGTTCAATATTAGCTATATGTACTTCATAATAGGGTGACCAGACTACTGAGGCGTATTCAAGGATCGGTCTCACAAGAGTGTTAAAAAGATATATTAGACTAAGGGGTCTCTTGAATTTCTTCATAACTCGTGTAACAAAACCAACTAACTGATAACCACGTTGCGTTAAGTGATTAAAATGTTGCTTAAAATCTAGTTTAGAGTCAAAGATAACGCCCAAATGTTTAGCAACATTACTTTCAGACAAAGGTTGATCATTGATGTGGTATGCATATTTTAGACAAGTTTTCTTAGTTGTGAAAGTTACAAAAAACATTTAGTTACATTCAAATGCATTTTATTATGAGAACACCAGGTATTAATATTATTAAGGTCCCGTTGCAACAAGAGGCAGTCGTGAACATCATCGATTATACGGAAAACTTTCATATCGTCTGCATTTATAGTAAACATTCACTTGTGATATGGTCTACCAAGTCATTAATAAATATACTAAACAAAAGAGGGCCAAGATGGGACCCTTGAGGAACCCCGGATGTTACATGTACCGGTTTGTTGAGGAAACCTTTTATTGCAACGATCTGACTACCTCTAGAAAAATAAGAAATTATCCAACGCAACAAATTGCCATGTATCCCGTATGCTGCTAATTTAGCCGCGAGTATTCTATGGTTGACTTTGTCAAACGCCTTTGAAAAGTCAGTATAAATCGAGTCTACTTGGCGTTGGGTAGCAAATGCTTTACAGATGTATTTTTTGTAGACAAGTAAATTACTAATGGTTGATCTACCATTATACACACCATTATACATATTGCTCTAATAGCCCTCTTCTGTGAAATAAATATAATTTCAGTGTCAGTCGCGTGTTCCCATAGCAAAATACCGTACGACGTAATGCTATGGAAATAACTAAAGTAAACTACTCTAGCTGTTTCAACACTGGTAAGAGTTCTAATCTTTTTTACGGCATATGCTGCAGAACTAAGTCTGCTAGCTAGTTTTTATATATGAGGGAGCCATTGAAGCTTTGTGTCTACCGTGATTCCAAGAGAAACGGTGGTATCAACAAGACTTGGTTCTTCCCCATTTAAAATTACATTAGTATTAACATGTTTGACTTTAGGAGTTACGAATTTCGTACAATTAGTTTTAGTTCTATTTAAATGCAAATTATTAACTTTAACCAATTGACTAACTTAGCTATAGCATTATTTACTTCGTAGTAATTTAATAACTGTCGTTTTAATTTGAAAATAATGAAGTATCATCAGCAAATAATACTGTATCATGGTTGTAACAGCTAGGAATTTACTGGTTCACACACGCACACCTAAACTCACGGTTCACTACACGTCCACTCTCGCCCGTGGCTCTCGGCTCGGCTTCGATTTTTAAATTTATAAATTCTACCAATCACAAATCAAATTCCAATCAAAATTTAACTAATGACATCTTGGTCCATTCCGCTGCTGATGTTCAGTTCTTGACTTTCTTCTTCATCTTTGTTGGAGACATTTCTCCATTCGCCTTCTACTTTTTTTAAATGTACTATATTCCTCCTGTATTTTGACCAGTTTCATGGTTTGTTACCACACAGTCACCATTTTTTGAACTTTCTACGGTATGAGGAATGGTATTGAAATAAGACGTCAATTTATTTTATCTTTCCATTGCTTTTACGTAAACTTGGTCACCTTTCACTATTTTTGAATTCGTAGCTCTTCGCTTCCTGTCAGCACACTCTTTCCCTTTTTGTTTTTGTTCTCTGTCTCTTATTTCCATGTCATCTGTTCCGTTGCAGCATCAGTCGAGTGAGGGGACTTTATCTGTATTCTGTCTTTTGAAGAAAAGTTCCAATGGTGTCCTTCCATTCACCGTTTTCAGTCAGGCATTCTTTCATATCTTTTCTTTCATAGTGACTTATTCGTAGCCGTTTTAATATATCTCGGTTTTCCCTTTCAACCTCTCCATTCATTTGTGGCCAGTATGGTATAGTGTTAAAGGGTTTAAAGCCGCACTCTTTACAAAACGATTTAAACTCATCGCAAATAAATTGCTTACCATTGTCAGCTGTGAGTGAGACAGGATTTCCTAGTCTGCTGAAGATTCCTTTAAGATTTTAATTATCTGTGAACTATAAATTGCCTTTGTTACTTTTATTTCTTTGTATGTACTATAATAATCAACAACAACTACTAGATAGTCATTATTTGGAAGTGGTCCTAACAGATGGAGCCGCCACAGGTAATTCATTTCTTTTCAATGGATTAGAAGGATTTGGTAAGCTTACTATAGTGGAACTTTTACATGCTTTTACTAAATTCTCAACATCTTTTTCGATTCTTGGCCACCATACTTTTGTCCTTAAACGGCCCTTCATTGCAACTGTACCAGGATGACCTTCGTGGACAGCTTCTAACACTCTTTTACGGAGACTATGTGGTATGACTATTTTATTTCCCCGAAGTATATGTAATGCCTACATAAAAACATATCTCAGTTTCAAAGATGCGGTAATTTTTTACAGACTCATTCCAGTTGTTGTGATATACGCCCTTTTTTATGTTTGGAGTATCTTTACCAGTTTCAGGTGCTTCTTAATTTCCCACAATGGTATAGCTATTGGTCTAGAACTTTCAACAATCAACTTTCAACAACAATGTTGCACATGTTAATCGCTTCCAGAAGAGGGGCTGTTTGGGAAGTAACATAACCTTGATAAAGGGTCTGCAATATTTGATTTACTAGGTTTTAGATTTTAGATTTTAGTCGTAGTATCCATCGCTCTATTCGTGCACAAGGTTTTGATTTGGGTCCAAACAGAACTTCTAAAGGCTTATGGTCCGTAATTAAGTCGAATTTTTTCCAAAAAAAAATTTATAGTGTTCTACTGCCCATACTAGTGCCAAAGCTTCTTTTTTTGGTCTGGCTGTATTTTCGCTCAAAGTTTATCAAAGTGCGATTTCCGTAAGCAATTATTCGAGGTTTTGTATGATCACTCTTTATGAGCACAGCTCCAAGTTCGACTGGACTGGCGTCTGCTATCACGTTTATTTTATCGTCGACGTCGTAATACCCCAAAGATTGTATTTTCGTTAAAGCTTACTTTGACTGTAAAAACATTGTCCTGTTCCTTCTGATATCACATAAAAGTAGTAGAATCT